TTGAAGAAAAAAGAAATAAATAAACATTGCACTATTTATATTTTCAATCTATTTATGCATATTTACAGTTAGTGAAAGAGTTTTCAAGGTTTTATAAAAAAAAATCTAGCAAACGAGGGGAATGTTATAATTCTGATACCTTTATTTTATTCAAGAGAATCAGAAAAGGAATATTTTCCCATTAGTATTCAAAGAAAATAAAAATTGGAAAACTAAACTCCTGTAAGATATTGCAAGAATGCAGCGAACATAAGAAAACTAAATGAACTTACGACACAACATTTTTAAAACTCTTTCACCTGTCAAATAACTTAGCGTCATTACATATTTCTTTATTAAGAGGGATTTTAAATTGCTTCGGAAGGAGAATTTCTGAAAGCAATAATTTATCACTAAAAAAACCTTTTTCCGATCTATTAGCGGGAAAAATAGCGTAATAATAGCACTTTCATAAATTCGATAAACAAAGGAGAAAAAAAACTTGGTGTCCTTTTTATCTATGAATTATGTCTACTTCCGCTACACTTGAACTGTAACGTCTTTTGTCGGCGAATTTGCAATTAAAATGTCTCAAATGAAGCATTAGCACCGTTGCCATTTAATTAATAAAAAAGTGCTTTAATCGGAAGAGGCCTGTTAGTGTTTATTTGACTATTAATTACGCAGAGTGATGATAAATGTTTAGACTTTTCACTAAAATGCAATTATTTTAAGTCATAAATATTGCGAGTTAAGACAAAGAAATATGTTTTACAATGTAATCTTCATTTAGTTTACCTATTCCATAAAATGTTATTATCGTTAACAAAATTTCAAAATTTGTGTTTCATAAAAATACGAGAAATGTATTTCCTTCCAATCGGCAAAGCCGTATATGTACGGCCTAAAATAATTCTTGTGATACCTGTAAAAACGTAAGAACTTCTGTGATATCTATGTGAACCTGCATATTACAATATGTTAAAGAAATGAAGGCAATATATTAAAGTATACAAATGCAGGTATAAAGTATAAGGAGAACTTTTGTATTAAAATCAAGAAAATATTTTTTCTCATAGTAGTTTTGGGAAATTTGTGCTTTCTTAGCGAAAACCCAGGTCGGTAAGAGGTTTAAGTGGTATCTCAGTCTGAAAGGAAATTATTTTTGTCTTGCATTGATTTTCGAATTTGATGTCGAATAGATGGAAAGTTATAACGATTAAATTGATTAATTTGTAAAAAGATTTACTCTTTAGGCAAATAATCTTCGCGGGCTTTGACCAACTGAAATAATCTAAATTCTTGAATACATAAAGGAATTGACAGAGCCTCAAGAACCAACGGAACTCATTCAAATGTTGACGAATCATCGTGTATAACATTTTAGTTAAAACCTGTTGTTGTTCTTACTTATCCTCACTTGTCTGAGAGTAACATCAGCCCAAGCCCACAAAATTCCTCACTTGTCTGACACTTACCCTCACTTGTCTGATAGTAACATTAGCCCAAGTCCGCAAAATTCTCTTGACAAGGAGCGCAATATAAGCCTGTAGTTGGCAACAGCGTTGAGCACCTTACAGGTGATTGTGCGGTTTAGTTCAGTTCCGCCCCCCCCATTTTGATGGAGAGCACCACGGAGGGACGGGTCCAAGGGTCTCCCACTCCTCTCCTCTTAAACCAAACCACGCGAAATGACTTTCGGCTAGCCGCATATTTAGAGTGCCGCCATGCCGCACAGACACTATGCATTTACAAACAGCCATGCTTTCTCCGGGATTCGAAACCGGGTCCTTCGGCACGGGAGTCAGCGACGCTAACCAATATACCGGTTGGGGGGCCGTTAATCGCTGGGTTAATTCAAAACAGGAAAGATTAAAAAATCAACTGTAATTTTTCCAGAATTCGATACATGCTCGTCGCGAGCGGCCGAGCTGCAAAATCGCTAAACACTCAAAGTTCGACCTGAATTAAGATCTAGGTGAACAAGATGGCTGCATGGCATTTTCGGGGTTTTCAACATGTGTAAAGTGGCTAGGCGTCAGGAATTTTTCCGTGAAATCGTCCTAGGCATTTCTCCCTTTAGGCATATAGCCCTCCCTCGCTTTGCCGTAATCAATCGAACCAAATCAGCAAACTGGCTGCCCAGATGGTTAAGGAAGCCTACTACGATGCCGAAGGGCTCGGGTTGGAATTCCGGAGAAGGCAGGGCTATAACTTTCCGTCCCTTCATAGAAATTAGGGCAGCCCATCTATTAGGTGCTTCCACTATAAAGTGGCTACCACTTCTGGCGTTAATTGTGGCCGAGTTTAAGTCCACTAAGTGTCCGCCAATGGAGAACCCACTCATGCAAAATTAGTCACACCCCTCTACAGATTACATCCTGTCTTTCGGACACACTTAGACATTTCCACAACTGCATCGCTTCTTCTAGCAACTAACTCGTGATAGGCGGTGTACAGCTTGAAAAACCAGCAAGCTAGAAGCTGCAACAGCGGGAACTGGAGTAAATGCGGGAACAAATCAGCAAATAGAACGCTGAATGCTAGATATACGAAAGCATACACGGAGAATACAATAATTCTTCACATAGTGACTAGCTGCATTGACGTTCACCGTCATAAGTTTAATTTAAATTATGAAATTTTTTGAGGCCCTGCTTACCTTGTTATCTTGTATTGAATTTTCCACGGAGTTTAGTATTGCCTCTGCACGAAATCATATAATTTTTTTACCAGTCTTGGAAAAGCTTTTCCTCAGAACTTTGCTGTTTGAAAAACCATAAGATCTTGAATTTAGTTTTCTAATATAATAAATTTGTAACACTTACTACACACACTGGTCACCTTTGAGATTTTCATTTGAATGGATGCTAGAGATGAACTATGCAAATTGTTTCATGACGTCAGTTACACGTGGTTAGAACGCTAGTATAAGTAAAGTGTAAGCGTGCGTTTCACGATGAATGAATTAAATGAGAAAAACAACAGATCTTTCACCATTTGAAAAAAGGGCTTATTGTTGGTGCAGGGGCCTCGATTTCAAAGTCAGCAAATCTCACTGGATTCTCAAAAGCAACCATGTCAAAGGTTTTCCAAATGTTACAATCATAAGCCACAGTATTTTCTCTAGAAGACGTAACTGCGGTTCGAGCACAGTTTTCCAAGAGAGTGATTGGCGTCGTCTCCGACGAATTGTGCGGTAGAACAGGGACTCTACTGTGCTTCAACTAATACATATCGTTAAACGAAGCTTTTCCCAACAGATTTCAACTCGAGCCTTGCGCAAAGAGTTACTGAGGATAGGAATGTATAGACGGGTGTCTGTGGGAAAACCACTCATTTCTACCCGACATGCAGGAATTCGTTTGCAGCGGTGTCGGGAAAAAAGACACTGGACATCTGAGGATTGGAAACGGTACTGTGGTCGGATGAATCACGTTACACCTTATTTTGCACTGATGGAAGACGTCGAATTTGGTGAGAACCCCATGAAGCCATTGGTTCATCTGATGCGACAATCAGTAACTAAGATTCTGGAGTATTTCGGGCTACTCCAGGCAATATCTCTTATCAATATAAAATTAGAGCTGGAGCCATTTTCGCTAAACTTCACTTGAGAACTTCTGTGATAGCGGAGGCAACTTTCCTATCCCCAGAACCCTTCCTATTTCGGAGCATGAAAAAGGAATTTTGTCTTGCGTGACAAGCAATCCTGAATGGAAGCTCCCTGATCACTAACGGGATCCACTTTTGCCTCAAAGCTTCTAAAGTTTAGGTAAGGTGTGCATTCTTCAACAGTTGCCAGCGCGTGTCAACATACAGATCACGAAAAGGCAGATAAACTGGCAGAAGAGGCTCGAAATCCCAACACTAATAATAACGTAAATGTCACCCTCTCGGATGCAAAAACCATGGCCATATACAGATTCAAGAAACGTTCAATTCCGATAAAACGCCAGCTCCGATCAATGGAGATCGACTTATAAATAAAACCATGGTCAGGCTTAAATCTAGTTATTACAGAGGATTGAAAATTAACAGAGAGGGTGGGTAGGTAGGTAGGTAGGTAGGTGACGGAAGACGGGGACGCCTGGTGGCTACCAGAGATAAACAGGCATGTGTTCCTCGCCTTCCACTATCTAATGGCAACAACTTCCTGTGGCCTCAAGAGTCCACACCGGGAGCTTATTAAGGGTGCAGGAGTTTACATGGCCAAACAGGGGCGACTTATTAACATTGCTTGACTAAATGCATAATTACAGGTATGAGACTTGTGGGACGGATTTACAGGTGAGGGGCTCAGAGCTAGGTGCTAAACGTATGAAAACATAAAAACATGAAAATGTACAGAAAACACACACGCAGAGGGGAAAAAGGGGGGGGAGGGATACACTTGATTAACACTGAAGACTTATGACAAATAAAACACACTTAAAAAATAATAATACACATATGCCACATGTCAGATACATATTTGGTCTCATTGATTCACATATACTGTACATTGTTGGGTGTGTTGTGGGGTGTGTTTACAGGACGAGGGGCCATAAGATGGGAATAATAACATGTGATTGCTGGACATTGATATGGGAGGGACACGTAGAGGTCCGGCGAATATACATATTTGTGGAGCGCATAGGTTGCTGAGTATATGAGGCATGCCGAGCGCGGTGACATGTTAGCAGCACAGGGTGATGTTCATGTTGACTTCTGTTAGTGGCGGACGTTGTGGGATTATGCAGCGTCGCATATATCTTGGCCCATAGCGGCGAGCTGGTCAATGACCTTACAGATTTTATTGATTGCAGGTTTGTTTTTAATAATGAACCGTTGAAAGGCGTCTGTAGGAGGAGTGGGATGCTTAATGTGGTTGTCTGCTGTGAGTGGGCAAGAGTAGATATAGTGTTCTGGTGATCCAAGTTGGCCGCACACGCAAGCATCTGTAGTGGAGATGTTGTGCCTATAATAATACGCTGGATAGGGGCCATGTCCCGTTATGAACCGGGTGAGTTGGGGTATAGCTATGAGGCGTGATAGAGAGACTTTTGGGTAGGAGATTGTAGGGTCCGTCGTCCGGTGTCACACGCGTTCCATTCCTCTTGCCATTTTTTGAGTAGGTCTTCTTTGAGAAGCCTCTTTAGATGCGATGGTGGTGCACGGATACGGATTTGCTGAACTTCAGAACTGGTGGCGGCTTCTTTGGCTAGGGTGTCTGCTGCCTCGTTTCCATCTAGACCAGCATGCGCCTTGACCCAGGTGAGGTGAATGCGTTGCTGGTGGTTTACAGAGAGTAGCTTTTGGATTTCGGAGATAATTGGGGAGGTGTGGCTTAAGTTTTGAATTGCCAGGAGTGAAGATTGGCTGTCTGTACAGATGCATGCTTGGCGGTAGCCGTTACTTAGTATGTCGTTGGTGGCGTTGAGGATGGCCAAGACTTCTGCCTGGAACACACTATTGAAGTGCCGCAGTGCTGCCTTCCAACTGGTATGTTCATCATTTTGGTGGTAGCAAATGTAGGCGCTACCAACTCCATCTTCAAACTTGAATCCATCGGTGTAGTAGACGTACGTAGCGTTGGGAATACTAGAATTGCTAGTGTTGTCTATGGTGATGCGGAAGTTTCTTCCTTGAATGCCTGGATGTGGGCGTTGGGTGGGGCGAGGGTTTTCATATAAGGTCGGACTATGGGTTGTATCGTGGAAGGTGGCGTCTTTGCGTAGTTGCAGGACTCTGGTTACTGTAGCTTCTTGCTCGGCTCTAAGATATAGTGGTGGTATGCCTGCAAGGATGATGGCCACAGAGGTGGCTGTGGTGCGAAAACCTTTGCACATCATTAGTGCGAAAGGTCTTTGGATGGTCTGTAGTTGTTTACGTTTCCGGCTTTGCATCGGCTTCGCCCATATTGCCGCAGCGTACAGGACTATGGGTTCAATCACTGTCGTATACAAAATCTTGTTAATATATGGGTTTCGTCCCCAATTTTATACCTTGAAATTGACGGGCCTTGCGTGCAATGGCTTGTGTCTTAATTTTGAGTTGCTGTAGATGTGGGATCCATGTAAGGCCTTTGTCCCATATTAAGCCTAAATACTTGAGCTCTTTGACGATTTTTAGATAGATTTTTCTGTTGGAGTTTAATACATGGATTTCTGCTTGGGTTGGTGCCTGGGGCTTGGGAATGATAAGAGCGGTTAATTTGGCAGTGGAGTGGCAGTGGAGATGGTTAATTTGAGTTCTTGACAGAGGAAGCTGAATTTTTGTAATATTTGAGTGCTTCTGTGTTCCAATTCGTTTTCTGGTGCGACCCTGGATTAGGAACGCAACGTCGTCTGCAAAGGCAACTAGTTGTGTATGCTGTGGCCAGTTGGTGGAGATGATGCTGTTGAAAGTTAGATTCCAGAGCACTGGGCCGCGCGCAAGATCCTTGCGGGCATCCTCTCTCCTGCTGTTTGATGGTTGTCCCGTTGTTGTGTGGGACCAGGAGGAAACGATTCTGGAGGTAACTGTCAAATATGCCATAGATGTTACGGGGGCATCGAGATGAGCGGAGAGAGCTTGTTTAATGGCCGGCCACCAGAGGGTGTCAAAGGCACTCTGAAGGTCAATTAAGACAAAGGCCGTGTGAAGCTGTTGTTCTCTTTGTTGTGGTGGATTATCCGTCGAACTTCCTCCAGAGCATGCAGTGTGGAGAGGCCGGAGCGGAAGCCGAACTGCCTGCTGCTTAGGATGCGGTTGTCTTGCAAATGAAAGATGAGTGTACTATTAGTTTTTCGTAGACTTTCCATAGAGCCGGCAATAGGCAGATCGGTCGGAGAGAGCTTGGGCTTTGGGGATCTTTGTTCTTTTTAGTGAAGAAGACTACATGACCAGTTTTAAAGGCGCTTGGGAAGAGCTTATGTTTCAGTAGGTTGTTGAAGAAGTGAAGAAAGAAGATGGGATGTGATTTGTAGGCGACCTTGAGGATGCTATGGTCTAGGCCGTCAGGGCCTGGTGCTTTCTTCTTGGGCAGGGTACGATAGATTTGTGTGATTTCTTGCCTGGTGAAGGGAATGTCGTCATCGGTGCTGCGTGGTTGTTTCTAAGAAGCTTTTGTTCCGGTGAATCATCAGCTGGGTTATCTGAGGGAAAGACGGTGCTCAAGATAATTGCAGCAGTGTTTGAGGTAAGGCTGGTGTTCGAGTTGGCAGTTTGTTGCTGCAAGTATATTTGGTGGGGTCGAAAAACGTTGCTTGTTGGGATTTTGTGGAGAATTCCGAAGGGATCAGAGTTCTCGCTGCAGAATTTCTTCCAGGTGTAGTAGTTTCTGCAGTCAGTATGCTTCGTTTGTATGTAGCTCTCTCTTTTCTGAACTGTGTTAGGAAGCAAGGCGCGTTCCTCTGGGGTGTCTGCTTTGGTAAGGCGGCGTCTTAGTGCCCGGCATTTTTGGCGTTGCTGGCGAAGGTCCTTCGACCACCATGAAAGACCTTGAATTTTCTTGGCTGTGCGGATGGGGAGAGAGTACTGTCACAGCATTTTTGTAGCTCCTGCGTTAGATGGTTTTTGTGTACTGGTCGAGGTCTGCGGCGTTGTGGCAGCTCTGCAGTGATGGAAGTTCTCTGCTAAGTAGGTCGTGAAGTTGCCTTTTCAGTATCTTGATTTTTGCTTTCGGTAGTCTGTAGCGTTTAAGTATTGGGATGGTGGTGCTGGTGCTGATACTGAAGTGGATGTATTTGTGATCCGACAGGCTACAATCGTCTGACACCTCTCAGTTTTGCCATAAGTGGCTGGCGTTGTTGCTGGTAAGGGTCAGGTCTGGCCATCCTTTGCTGTAGGTGTTGTCAAACGTAGGGGGCATCTCTGGAATTGTGAAGGTGGAGGTTGTTGGCGGCTATGTAGTCTTCAAAATCTTGACCTTTCCTATTGATGTCGGCATAGCCCCAGATTGTGTGATGGGCATTAAAGTCACCGCTGAATATGGTGGGAGCGGAAGGGCATTTGAGTCGAATTCTGTCCATTGCGGCAGTTGCTTCTGCGATGGTGTCCGCGGGGAAGGAGTAGATGGAGCTGAGGATGATGAAACTCATGTCTGAAGTTTCGAGGAGGATAGCGACACAGTCTCTTTCTGTTGTTACTATTACGGGAGTCCAAATCGGGTTGCATATTATGATGGCTGCTCGTGGGGCTTGGGTATTTTCGTTCACTTGGATTGTTCTCCAGGAAGCGGGAAGGAAGCTACTTGGCCTGTTCTTGCAATAAGGCTCCCTGAATGAGAAGGATGTCGGTATCGTTTTGGATGGCATGTGCTGTGCTTTGTATGGTTGCCGCCTTTGCTCTTGTTGCAAATTTATTTGAATGCACATGAGGAGGCTGTCGGGAGTTGTGACTGTTAAATTGCATATAACTGGTGGGGAGTGACCTGGCGGCAGATTGTGACACGATCTGGAGCTCTGAAGAGGGAGATTGTAAGCTTGTGCAGAATTTGGGTAAGACTGAGGTTGGTTCGGGTATGGTAGGATTAGTAGTTGGTGCTGCGTCGAATCCTCTCGATGTATATCTGGTAGGTTGGACAGGTGGGTTGGTACGCTGGGTGTCTACAAGGGATTGTGCCTTTTGTCTTGTGATTGAAATCTGCGCAGTTGTTGCATGTTGGATTGATCGCGGCGCAGTCTTTGACGTTATGTGCGCCGGAGCAGAATTCCTTGTTGTGGCAGTCTTGTTGTAGGTGGCCAAACTCTTGACATCTGTAACAGCGTTTGGTACTGAAATATTCTGTGATCCTGTGCGCATGCCATCCGATGTGGATGCAGCCAGTTTGCATAATTTGTCTGAAGGCAGGTGGTTGGCATTTGGCGATCCACTTGACATTATTATTCTTGTCTTTAAGCCGTAATAGTTTGAACGCTGTTTTGTTGAGGCTGAATTCCAATTCTATGATGTTCGCGAGTTCTTCCTTCTGCAGGGAGGAATCGCACACATTTTTGACTGTCCGTTCATCCTTGCTGTATCGCCAAATGTTGGGGGTCTTGTTTTAAAACACCGAACCTCTATGATGACTACAAGTTGCAGTTTACCTGAGCTGTCGTTTCCGCCCATGGTGTTATTTGAATAGGTTTTTATCAGAGACAGGACGACAACAACGGATATCTGATAACGAATATTCTTTAAACAGATATATAACTCGGATGTGTGTCATGGGTCATTGGTAAAATATTGTGTTGCCATTCCACAAAGCGTAAGATTTTCCAAATTTAACCAGAAAACTCATCGAAACAAAGGAACTATGGTGCCACTCGTAGCATATTCGTCTTTCGAATTTGAAAAACAAAATCAACGATTTAAAAGAAATTGCTGAAATTCAAATATTTTTTATTTTCACCCGTTATCGTTTAACAAAGCATAAAATCTTTGCAATGTAAGATATTTGAAAGTGGATGTATGGCTTGGACTGATGCTTTCTTTCTTGAGATCATTCAGGCTGAAGAATACTGCATTGGTAACCGTGAACTCCAAAAGGCCACGAGTGACTTGAACTTAGTGAATATGTCCTTAGACGAATTCAATCTGTATTGAAATGAATAAAAGACCGAACATCTACAATGATAATATTTTTCAGATTGACAGGGCTGTCATGTCCGCCTATGGCACTATTTGAATAGCCTTTATCATAGATATGAGAATAAAAACTATAAAATTATATATATTTATATGATCAGGTATTTCTCCCACTTTCCTAGCGTGCCTTCGTGGTGAAGTGGTTCTGCACACTGGGCCGGTATTTCAGAGGTCCGTGGTTCAATTCCTGGTGAAGGCGTTGCTAATTTTTCATCTCTCCGGCTTCCAAAAAATACTTAATGTCTCTACAGTGGCGCCCGAACTAAAAGGGGGTTGGAAGATGAATTTTAATCACCCAGGATTTGGCTACTAGGTCCGCTAAAGACCCCTGTCGCCCTTTAAAAAGGTTGGTTTGCTTTGGTTTTTTTTAATTATGGCAAAGCACACTAGGGCCATCTGCCTAAGGGGAGGGATGCCTTCGTGGAGGACTTTCTAAGTGAAACTCGCTCGTATACACGTTACACATGGGAAAACCACGAAACCACCCATGCAGCCAGCCCGTTTCGAGCCTCGGACCGAACTACCAGTATTCAGCGACTTTACCGCTCGGCCGCTGGTGGGCCGCCCTTTAAAAATAAAGAGGAGTATATAAGGTATTTCTCCCACTATCCTAGCGTGCCTTCGTAGTGTAGTGGTTCTGCTCACTGGGCCGGTCCGTGGTTCGATTCCCAGCGAAGGCGCTGCTAATTTTTCATCTCTCCGGCCTCCAAAAAATACCTGTCTCTACAATATAAAATTATGAAAATAATTTATTATTTTCCTTTTTTTAGAAAAGTATTATCTCTATCACTATGAAATTACATATTTATGAAAAATCGTGTATAATATACGCATGTGTAAACTGTTTTAGAATCTGAAAAAAAATAAGAATTTTATATTTTAACGTTTCTTCACCCCAGAATTTTAGTAATTTTCATTTCAAGGAAAATTTGTTAATAAATAGAATTTTGAACAACGCGGAAATATTTTATTATATTTTACAGTAATATTAATATTTTATTATATTTTACAGTAATATTAACTGCATATAGTAACTAAGACCATATACATGCCCGTACGAGAGGAAGATAAAACATGCGGGTATAAAATCATTTTATGAAATACTGATATCAGCATTAAAAATATGCTCAAAAGCAGAAACCATTCTTTTTCTAAACAAGAAACAAAGTTCACTCACAGTGAAGTAAAAAAGGCTTATAACCTCCGCAAATACAAAAGTTTGAAGCAACTTTCAACGTAAAAT